ATTCTCTACTCTAGTAGAAATCTTTACCACACACATGCATCACCATTCCATCTCCATTTCGATCGCATGGTTTATTTTATTATTATTATTATTATTATTATTGTTATTATTATGATTATTATTATTATTATTATTATTATTGTTATTGTTGTTATTATTATGAGTGTGAGAAAGGAATATGATTATTATTATCATTATTTTTTATTATTATTATTATTATTATTATTATCATTATTATTATTATTATTATTATTATTATTATTATTATGATTATTATTATTATTGTTTATATTTTGATGAGAGTGAAAAAGGAATATTATTATTATTATTATTATTATTATTATTTTATTATTATTATTATTATTTGTGACCATAATTGACAAAAGGTACCTTATAGTGGATTTAAAAATTCATCATTATAATGGAACATATCAACCTGTGAGTGCTTTGTTGGGCAATCATTGTTTCTAATAGTTATATATATAGTAACTTTTTGTATCATTTTATGATAAATGGAGCTCAGGAAGTTAGATTTTTTGGGTTTAATGACAAATTTCACTACCCGCCATAAGGTACCTTTTGTCTATTATGGTCACATTTTATTATTATTATTATTATTATTATTATTATTATTATTTTTATTTATTATTATTATTATCATTATTATTGTTATTATTATTGAGAGAGTGCGAAAGGAATATTATTATTATTATTATTATTATTATTATTATTGTTATTATTATTATTGTTATTGTTATTTTTTTGAGAGTGAGAAAGGAATATTTTTATTATTAATATTGTTTAGTGTTGTTCTAGTTCTTTGGAACTAGAACTAAAAAGTCATTTAGTTTCATTATTTTTAGCTAGTTTTAGTTCCTAGAACTAAAACTATAACTAAACTAACGGTTTTCTATCTATAGAACTATAACTAGAACTAGAACTAATAGCTAACTCTTCTTTGAACTATAACTAGAACTAGAACTATTTGTAAATTAATGTTGGTACTAGAACTAGAACTACAACTATTCTTTTTATGGAACTAATGCTAGAACTACATGCTATTGACTGCATAAAATGTTGCCAACTAGCTTGATTAGAGCTTATGTCATCGAAAAGTGTCAAAATAAAGGAAAGAGAACTAAACTAGAACTAGAACTACACTAGAACTAGGGAAACCAGGAGCTTGGAACTAGAACTAGAACTATAACTATGTAGAGTATATGCTTGGAGCTAGAACTAAAACTAGAACTGTATAAACTAAAAATTTGGAACCAGAACTACAACTAAGACTAAGCAAATTAAAGGCTTAGAACTAGAACTAAAACTAGAACTATTTGAAAAGTAAGAACTAGAACAACACTGTTATTGCTGTTATTATTTTTATGAGAGTGAGAAAGGAATATTATTATTATTTTTATTATTATTATTATTA